CGGTGGCCTTAATATCCCTTATCTGTTCCTTCCACCCTGCCTACACGTCTGCAAAGAGCACTTTTTCTAAATTCTCTCTCGACTCCTCTAGAGTGCGCCTTCTGTTTCCTGCTGGGTCCCTGACTGATGGGAGCATGGAGGGGGTGACAGACACAAGGTACCACTCAGGCGAGGGGCAGTCCCCTTAGCCCCCAACAGGTGTGCCCAGGGTCTGTCCCTGCCTGTGGAAGAGCGATGGGTGTAGAATCCTAGTGTCTGAGAACCACCCGGGGAGATCCAAGGAAAGATTAAGAAACGGTCCAAGGAGACTAGGAGTCATGATGACAAAATGTAAAGTGATGTCCTGGACTGAACAGGAAACGGACATCAGTGCAAAACTGGTGAAATTCCAACAAAACCTGTAGCTTACTATTACGCATTGATACTAATTTATTAATTTTGACAAATATATTCTGGTCATATAAGAAGTTAACATAAAGGGAAGCTAGGTGAAGGAAATATTGGAACTTTCTATACTATCTTTGCAACTTTTCTATAAATATAAAATTATTGCAAAATAAAATGTTTATCTAAAAAAAAGCAGACTCCCAGACCCTGCATAAGAGCCCCCCTGAATCAGAACTTCATCCATGGATACTCAGGCAGGTGGGTTGAGAACCAAACCTTAAACAGCCCCTAAAGGACTTGGAAACTCTCTGTTCTGGTTGAGATAAGAATGGAAACAATTGTTTACTGATGCGAAAGTACAGCATAATCACTTGACTATTTAAAGGAACGAGCCGATTGAAGCTTTGTCCAAGTTCACCTTCTATTCCAGTTAATTAGAATGATTCATCCCTCGACCAGACCAGTGGCTGTATTTAGTTTCTTGCATAACAACACTTGAAGAGGTACGAATAATTATAGAACCAAACAAAGAAGTGACAGTAAAGTTCTCCCGCTTCCTCCTCTCTCTGAACCCAAGGATTTTTGCAGTGTGTGTCTTTTTCTTTCCCCTAACTTTGCGTTTCCAAGAGGGCAGGGCCAACCAGAGTTTTGAACAGTGATCTCCTTCATCCGTGGTGGGGTATCCTGTCTCTGTGTCGAATTTAAGCTCCCAGAAGGCAGCAGCTCTATTTCCCATCCCTTCTGTATTTTTCTACAGCTCAGTTGTGTTGTTCACCCATGCCTTTGATGGATGACAACCTCCACTCCTCACTATGCCCAAATCTTTGCCTATTTGTTTTAGATATAACTCTTACATTCAACATTTTCTATGCCGTTGGAATGTGTAAGAAGGGGGTAGGTAGATGTGTTGGCATTAGTATTGCTTGTTTATTAACAAAAATGTTAATGGAGCACCTACTATGTGCCAGGCAGTATTCTAAGCACTGGGGCCATAATAATAAAATAATCTCCACCTTCAGGGAGCTTAAAGTCAAATTGGGAGATAGACGATTAAGCAGCTAATTACCAAACAATCTATAGATTGCCCCTTGCCATCCTCACACTGCCCATCCTGACAGGGCAACTCGGTGAATTAGGAACAAGAAAAGTAGGCTCTAATTCCAGGCCCGCCTCCTGCTAGGCACTGACTTTAAAGGAGGCATAGCCGTTCTGATCCTCAATCCCCTCATTCAGAAAAAATGGGAATTAAAAAACAATAAAACCCGCCTCTCTGCCTCAAGGCAGTTGTTACAACAATGGATGCAAAAGTGCTTTGAACACTGCAAAGTGTTACACAGGTGGGGGCAAAAGTAGATTTACAACTGTGCTTAAGCAAAACAGAGTCTATCTTGCATTGTTAGTTATTAATTATTGTATTATTTTCCATAGGAACAACTGCAAACCTACTTTTCCCACGTCCTGTACATATGTCAAGCAACAGAAATTAATGACTTAAATAGTCCCTGCCTACTGACTCTAACACTAAAAGTTAGTGGTTCAGTGGCGTTGCCATTAGCAGAAATTTCAGACAATAAGGCTTTATAGAAAGCAACCCTTCCCAAGGTCTCAGCTCTGTTGCTTTGGAGCCAGCGATCGGTGAGAGTTAGATTAACATCAGGGAGCCGCTGGGGAGAAGTTGCCTATGAAGAAGGCAGCCCACCGTCTTATTCACGGCAGCCCCCTTTTTGCTTCTCTCCTTAAATACAGACGAGCTCAGTTACCTCCACTCTTCTGTGAAATTCAGAGCGATCTCTTAACTACAGCGTTCACATTTCTATTTCACTCAAAAAGAAGCTTCCTGATCAGAGATGAAAGGAAAGCTGCTCTCAGTCAGGGCTGCTGCATATAAGCCTGTGAGCAGTTTTCGGCACATGTCTTAAAAAGATAATGCTCGAGAGAAGTTCTGAAAATCACAGTTGCTGCTTCAGAGATAAATGTCGTGTCTATTCTCAGCTTCTAAAGCAGAAAATGTTCTATCGGAGCGGTTTACCGTCTTTCTGTCTGGAGAAGTCGATGAGCTTCTAAGGACTTCTTTTGGATGCCATGGTAACCACATGATTCCGGACAAGTCTGTTGTGTCTGGGGCACAGCTTAAGAACTTTAAGATGTCACCTAAGAAAGCATTCACTAGAGACAATGCTGGTATGTTCGAACTGAGCATACGACACGTTCGCTCCAGGAGCACATACGCCTATAGGCCTCTGCTACGTCCCAGCACCAGGCTGACTAACCAAGAGAATGGAAGACACCATTGCAAAGACCTCACCGGGGCTGTGGGGCCCCGGCAGCAGCAAGCTAGTTACAAAATACTCAAGAATATATAGAAATGATATCGTAAAGTTTTAGCTCTTATTCCAAAGTTAAAATTTGTATTCTCTAGTTTTTGCTGTGACTTCAATCGTGGAAGCTTTCTATGAAGATTTTTTTTTTTTTAGCTAAATAGAAACATGAGAAAAAGCTGAATGTTGAGCAGAGGAACAGTAGTAGGATCCGAAAGAAGTTTAAGTGGCTCATGAGGGCCTTTAAATGCACTTAGCCTGAGAAATGATGAAGAGGGAAGGAGGACCCTTGGTCTATGGAAAGGAGCAGTATTTGGGGCTTTACTGGTAAAGGCAAAACCACATCCAGACTGTGGGACTCTCTGAAGTCTCCCCAGACTGTCTCCTTTTCACCTGAAAGTAATGAACAAATATCAGATGGTGGAGACTCCCCTTTCACCACAGGGTGTGTTTGTGCACCCACGCTTACACCACCACCAGGTTGTATCAGGATTCGCTCTGGAGTTCATCAATACATGAACCAATGAACGCCACAATTATTTCTATATTCATGAAAGAAATCTGATCACTGACCCCAAATGATCTTCACAAAGCCCACAGATGAGCTGAATTTCTTCAGGAAATATTTAGGAAGCACATGCTATGAGCATCTGAACCAGAAGCTGAAAGAGACACAAAGGAAATGTCGTGCCTGGTCCTTTTTACCGTTTGGTTGAGGAAACAAGAAAGACCTGCAGGAAGTCAGGCAGCATTTCTTCCCGCATCTCTCACCTTTACCCACTCTCCGCTTCGCCACTGACCTCGGGGAGCTCTCCCGCCCTTGGCCTCCACCTACTCACCATGGCCAGTGAGCATTTTCTCCAACTTCGTGATTCACACTCACACACACACACCCCTTGGCCTCCCTTCCTTGAGCACACAATCTGAGACACATATGGCCTCTCCATAAAACCCTCAATATCTTTGTCGTCCTGCCTTTCCAACCCTAGATAATTCTGTATTCTGTGTTCTCTGCTCCAACACTAAACACACCTGGAGAGAAACCACATAAGCCCGTAGGTACCTTTGGGGAGGCCCGAAGAAAGGGCCACTGGAGAATGCTGATTTCCCAATTCCAATGTAAGCGCCTCAAGGGCAGGGACTTTGCTCTGTTAAGCCTGAGGGCACCCCAGCAGGCTCAATAAATCCCTTTAGCAATGCATTAATACCGAAAACAAGGAATTAGAAAAGAAGGGTCCATATTCATTCGACAAATAAACTGATGCTTGAAACATTCACACACAGCTGTTCTAAATAAAGCATTCAATAAAGTAGCCTTCGAAAGAAGTGCCCCTTAAAAATAGCTGGTGAAAGTTATTCTGTGGCCTTCAGAGTTGTCAAGCTCTTCAAAGTTATTTTATAATTCAGAGTAGTTTATAACTTAAGATCGTTCTTCCTGTTAATTCCAGCAGTGTAGTAAGATCTCACCACTCCTAAAACATCACCAAGTAGGAGCCACCCTCGGGTCACGGCTGTATTTCTCCCGAGGGAAAATGAAAGAGTCTCTCCATGTCAGCCAGGAAGGCAAATATAAAGGAATCCCGAGACATCTCATTTCAGAGAGGAGAGAGCATCCTGCCAGGGCAATGCCGCCGCGAGGGGTAAAGCTTCAGGGGGCCAGGGGACACCGCGGCCCGACCAGAGTCTCGGGAGCTGGCGCCCCCGGGGTGCAGCACGCTCTTCCTCCCGCCAGTGCGCACCTGTCTCCGCCCAGAGTGGGGGCCACAGCTCAGGCTGCGGTGCTCATACCAGTGTCGCAGGGACAAACCCAAGTGCGTCTGATTCTCCTACAAATGTAATAACGTCTGACAAGAGGCCGATTGGGCAGCACACGATGTCATTTCCTCTAATTAAGGAACACTCGAGAAAAACCAAAATAGCCACAAAGCACTGTCAGCAAAGCAATCAGCAGCGACAGTCGGCTGTCAACCCCCCGTCCTGAGCTGAGCCTGTGTAGAGAGCAGGGCTAGTTGTCACCGGTTTCCAAATCACTGTGACAGCAGGAGTCAAGGATGAGGGCTGAGAAGAGAAGCCAGAGCCTACTGCAGACCAACGGCACCAAACCCCCTCGGGCTGAGGGGGGCTGCAGCTGTTTGTTTCTGTGCAGAAATGTAGGGGGACCCTGCGGAGGATCCTGCGGCGAGCTTCCAACGCAGCTGGGAGTCTGCCTGCGGCCCACGCTGCTTATTCCCTGGAGTCGCCCTCCTCTCCACCTGGAACAATTCTGCCCGCTCTGTAAACCCATAAGCAGCTCACCTCTGCCGAACTGAGGGCTTCACGGCTGCAACACGCGAGTCCCCCCGTCTCAGCTCCCAGATCAGATGAGCATCTGTACCTCAAGGTCACTGTGCCCAACGGCAGGAGTCGGGAAATATGCAAAGAAACAGACATAACACCATTGTCACGATATGTAATAATATATAATAAGACTGGATGCGTGTGTGCATATGTGTGTGTGTGACACACGTGTGTATATAACAATTAGTGGGAGGAACATTTTTCTCTCCTTCCCAGCATCCCTTCCCGGCACATAAAACAAAACTGTTTATCTTCCTTCAACTATTAGAAGGTGACTTCTGCCCTTCCCTTCATGAGTTGTGTAGACTAGGTAAGGGAAAGTGCACGGAGGCAGGTCTGGGAACCCTCCCTTTTCCCTATTTCTGGCCTCAGTAGCATGTATTTTTCCTTTCCATGAAAGAAGATTTCAGCAATGAATATAACAGAAGGCCCAATTATAGCAGATCCTGCCCATAGTTGGAGCTCATCCTCTGATTCAGAATCACTGGGAATAAAGCTGGTAGTTAGCTCCCTGTCTACCTGATGTCTGCATTTGGCTCTCCATCCAGAGCAAACCCAGCCCTGATCTTTTGCAGAAGCAAGATGCTCAACTCAAAGACACATTTCCCAGCCTCCTTTGCAGCCAATAGCGACCATAAGATTAAGGCAGAATTCACTGGCCCCAGGCCAACACTTTACCTGGACTGACTCAGGTGGGAGACATGACCTTGTGTCCTTCTCTGTCTACCTGCTCGGAACACAAGCATGAAGGTCCCAAGTTGAACAAGACATATTAAAACAATTTAATGATATCGCCAGAACTCTGATTTTATATCTTTCACAAAGTGGGGGGTGAGATTCAAAACATCTGGGCACAAATGCAAAACGAAAGACAGAAAGAAAGCAGGTCCTGTAATCCAGCAATCATGGCTGGCATTTTTTATGGTATCAAAGGAAAGCGGCAAATTTAAGAATTGGGATATATGTAAAATTAACTTTTATTGAAAGTTGAGAAAAAATAGAAAAAAAACTAGAGTTCTGGTAGCACAGTCCCATCATTGCATCAACAAGATACACAAAGTTGGTAAGATTCATAAGCAGAAGGTGTCCTGGCAAGAACCTTGACAGAGGAAGGGGCACTCTTAGGACCCTTTGGACCAGGTTTTGAAGCATCAATAGAAGCTTCAATGAGGAGCCTGCTGCTTGAGCTGAAAACGAGGTGGAGAGGAAGACAAAACTGCCCCTAAGAGGGCAGTCCTCAAAGATCTAAGAGATTCCATTATAAGAGGAAGCAACAGAAAAATTACTGCTATGAGAAAGAGTTAAAGTTTTTGAGTCCTAGGAACACAAAAATCAAAGAAGAATTTAAAAATAAGAAGCTTTATGCACATCAAAGATAATTGTTCAATTAAATTCAATAATTTAACTAAAATGCATTTCAATACCTCAATTTTGTGCACTATATCCTAGTTTATTCTTAAAGTAGGGTTACCTTCATAATATTTTGACTTCAAAGGATTTTAATCTCATTATTAAAAGCATAGTTGGCTAAAAAAGAAAGAACGAAAAAAGAAAAAAAACAATGATTATGTAAAACACAGCTTCTCAAAGGTTCCAGTGCAAAAGAATTCCTTGGGGGGAGCCTGGAATAATGCAGTTTCTGATTCATCTGGTCCGAGCGTAGGGCCTGGAGTCTGCATTTCTAACATGCTCTCAGGTGAAGCTGTTGCCGATGGTCCCCTGATCACCCTTGGAGGAGCAAAGATGTCGAGGTTAAACAGATCCAAGGTAAAAGCTCCTTGGATGACTGCTCCCGAGATGCCTGGGGAATCATAAGGATCTGGAACCAAAATGCAGCCCTCCTTGCCCCGTGGGCATCAGGAGTTCTTCGGGATCTTTTATTTTACACCCCTTTTCTGAGAAGCTGCCAACCTCCAGAGAGCCTGTTACCCTGCCTCTTCCCTGCCTCCTTTTCACTGGTCTCCCTTTCTCAGCTCCTGCTCACAAAGGCAGTTTTGGCCAAGAGAGGTGATCTCTCTCCCTCACCCTAGACCCCAGAGTCTAGCTACTCTATGGAGCTATTTCTGCCACCGCAGGCAGGTATTTCCCGGGAAGGAAAAAAACCAGGAATGCCAAGGGTAGCCAACGTAAGAGAAGAAGACTTAAACCCGCTCCGCGTTCCCATGAAGCTTTGGATTGTGCTTTTATTGCCTTCTCTTGATTGATTCAGCTCTCATCTATTTCTGACCAGCATTTTTGTTTACAACCAAAATTTTCCTTTAATACCAGTGTGTCCTGAAAGGCTGCAACATGGTTCTGCGGTGAAAGATGACATGAGTGGAGTCATATTAAAACGGAGCCAGAGTGGCCATTTCAGAGGAACTGCCCTGCACATCTTGTTTTCTTTATCTTCTAAATGGGACCAGGGCACCAACATACCAAAAGTCTGTAAGAATGAGAATTATCCTGGCTGTAAGGACTGATAAATTGAATTTTGCCAGTGACCGAACTGCTAACCAATCAACGAGGTACAAAGCTAGCCTTTTGCTTAAGGACCGAATCTCAAGGCAATCTGGGAAGGACAAAACTAACCTTCCGTCATCTAGCACCAAGGGACTCTTTCCAGATAAGGGCCACCTCCCCCCCCCTCCCCCCATAAAGCCCTAGTCCTGAAGGGGTGAGGGGGGAACGCCATCCGGGCTTCCGCCTGAATTTGAACCCCCTGATTTGCAATTCCTTTGATTCCAAATGTTTTCTGTTCAATTATTGCCTCCTTTTTAGGTTAACAACACCCACTTAAAATATAAAAAGCCACAGAGAATATCACGTCGAATCCTAACAATGAGAAGGCCGCATAACCAACACAATCATAACTTGTATTGAGCCCATCAGAAAGCTAAGGTTACAAGACAGCTGGTGAACTGATTTACAGAATCACATGGTCCTCCAAGGAGAAGCAGTGAACTAGTACTGGCCCAGGAACATCTGGATATCTGGCCATCCTATTTAGCCCCCAAGAGTGGGGGTATTAGACAAATACACAAATTACAGCAGCAATAATCGTTAACCGTATAACAAAACAATACAAAGCGACTGCCAGAAACAAACTGCTTGGGGGTTCAAAGGAGGGATAAATGGAGGAGGGGGGATTTCAAATTGGTCTTAAAATAACAACAGGATTTCTGCAGGGAGATATGGAAGGGAAGGTCCCTCCAAATAGAAGGAATTGTGAGAGCAAAAGCCGTGGGATAAGCCAGGGAAATGGAAGCAACCGTCTACTATGGTGACCTGAAGGGATGCCATAAGGAAAGACAGAGGACCATGGAGGGGAAACGGGGTCCACAGGGAGAGGCGCGCACTCAGTCCTACAGGCAGCAGGGTCACTGGGGGCTTGGGGAAGGGCGTAACAAGGCTGCGGAGGGCTTTGACGATCAGGCTAAAGACGCAGGCCAGGGGAGCAGACGGAACTTTTACAGAAGGCCTACAATGCGCATAGAAGATTAAACTGGAAGTGTAGCCGTATTAGCCGGCCTGCAGACACGAATGATGTACACCAAGAGAAAACTCACAGGCATGGGTGTGACAAGTGTCTCAGACCTGTCTCTGTCCACTCTACCGGAGGGTCCTGTTTTACATGCTGGGTCAAGTATTACTTCTGCCAGTTTTTCATCATAAACATTTTTACAGGAACTGTATGGCTAGAAAGTGAGTGTCACAGAAACAGAGACGAGAGAGTTAAATGTTCAGAATTGTCCAAGCTCAAGAAGATAAAAACAGAAAACACAGCGTTTGAGATCAAGGAAAAGCAGGCGAGGGATGGGATAGGTTTCCTCTGAGGATGAGAAATCACATTTTGAAGGCGCAGCTCATGTTAATTCAAGTCCTTCTAGCCCATACAAAAAATCCTGAGGCAATGACCCATTTAGTAAGATTAATTGTATGTTCCCCAAAAGTTAATTTACAGACTTTTAATGGATCACACAGAGAATTTCAGGAGAAAATTTTAAAAGAAAATATTTCAACTGTTTTCAATTTTATCCCACATATTCGACTAGACAAGAGCACATGCCTTCTAGAAGAATGTCATTCTAGAGAAAACTATTTGTATCAGATCTTTCTGGAAATGGTGGGCTACACTGGCGAAGCAATCTCATTCTCAGAGGAGGAGGCCCTGACCGGAAGCCAGTGCTCTGGTATCTAAATACAAAGCCAGGGATATTTGTAAACACAAAGCACACAGACCCTTTGTGTAGAGGGTGTGCCCTACTCTTCAAAACATATGCCCTGATCAGTTAAGGCCATAAATGAATGGGAGAAAAGCTGATCTAAAAAAGTCGCTCTTGAGTTCTCAGTCCATGAACTTTTACATCTACAAAGGACATCCAGGAAAAATAAACAGGAGCCAACTTAAAGAGGTTTCCACTGGGCTTAGAGCTTTCAAAAAGGTAATTGCAATTCAATGGAGCCCCTCAAATATGCTTAAATCCAGAAGGCCAAGCCCCTATTTACACCTTTGGAGGCTGAAAGGGAATCGGTAAGTAAAGGAGAGGAATCCAATATTTATATTGTCTCTGCCATAAGAACTGAACCACTGGGTGACCAACAAGTAAAGGAGGGGAGGCAATTTTTTATGCAAGTATTCCACCTGATAAATGAACAAAACCAATAGTGTAGCGAAGGCCTGGGGAGGTGGGGGGCGTGGAAGAGGGCTATGGGGGGAAAAGGGGGGAAATCTGTAATACATTCAACAATAAAGATAAATTTTAAAAATAAAATAATGATCCACAATCACAAATATATATATATATATATCACCATTTTACCAACCCCAATAAATAAATGAATCTAAGCATTGAACACCAACAATTGTTAACATTACAGAAAGAGGGACAGACAAGTATGTGCTTCCTGATGGAAGAACACTCCTATACTGTTGCCAAAGGAATTATATCTGAGTCTGATCACACCTCTGAATCCAGCTACCACATTGCAGGAAATACAGAAGACAGGGGAATGCAGTACAATGTATCATGAGTATGCAATCAGCAAAACTGATG